ACGTGCTTACCTCGCAGGAGCAGCCTCATACTGTGAGACGTTAGGTGGCCGAGACGTACATGCGCGCGGTGGCCAAGGACGACGCCGACCTCGTAGCGCAGATGTTGAAATCCAGCCTCTCGCTCGACACGATACTGCCGGTAGCGACACCTCTAGCACGAAAAGAAATATCTCCAATCGGTGATAGGGTGCTTCGTCTCTGCTGCATGCCGCGACGGCCGCGGGGGCCACCGACACGGTGCAGCTGCTCCTCGCTCGCGGCGCCGATGTCAACGACGAGACAGTACCTATTCATAGTACAAACGAGGACCTATGGTGGGATGTAGGGTGGGCGAACACCGCTGCACGAAGCAGCCAGTCGACGGTTCAAGCACGTTCTGCGCCTCCTTATCGATGCTGGCGCCGACGTCGACGCCCCAGATCACGTACGTCGTCAATGAGGGTTAGGGTTGCGCCACGGAATTGGTTCTCACGACGCGTGTAGGAAGGCAAGACTCCGCTGGCGTGCGCTCTTGGTGCGACGAGTCTCTCGTGCATCAAGCAGCTTCTTGCAACGGGAGCCGACGCGTGCCGTCCTGCTATGGTGTCGAGTGGATGAAAGCGAGGCTTCTGTAACGCGTGTCGGTCGTTAGGATGGAACCACGCCGCTTCAAATGGCCCACGCCAACGACTTTCTCGTCGACGTGGTGCCGATGCTCACGGCCGCTGCGTCGCAAGTACGTCTTGATTTCCTCTGCCATTTTTGGTCATTTTTGCTGTATTTTGAAAAGGAAAATTCGGGAATGCCCACGATATTCTGTGTGGTCTGTGGCAACTGGCACCTTGTCGAAGCCAATTGCGCTACGTGTGGCCATGATGCACCGTTGATGGACCGCCAAAAGGCGGTGATCCGGCGCCTCCTGCGGCTGCACCACCGGGGCTATCCCGTCAAATGGATGGGGACCTGCGCCACGTGCCCTCAGACAAGTATGACGATCGTCGACGACCGTTGCCCACAGTGCGGCCATGCGCCAAAGCAAACGAATCAACTTAAACTCCTCTACGTGCGGCTCAAGCTGGCGCTCCGACCGTGTGAGGTACGATCTGCGGGTCGTCGCCGCGCGCGTTGAAAGGTCTGTTAGGGCCCGCGCATACTCTTGGCGATTCCACAGAACGTTCTGCGCTGGTTGACACACGCGCCGCCGCAACACACACAGCCGCTGACGCCGGACGTCGCGTTTCGGAAGTACGATCTCTTGCGATATGAAGAAATGCACCCGGACGACGGCGAGATCGTCCCGGAGCTCGCCACGTCACTCGTCCACTGCAGCGCCCCGGTGGGTTGAGAAATATAGCGCTGTCTTGTGCATATATCGTTTTCTGTTGGTGTCCAAGTCGATCGGTCGCTGTGCTGTGGGTCAGTGCCACTCTGGCGGGTCCAAGCTCGCTGGTCCGAGGTTCGAACCCTATTGTCGCCGACCCCGCGCCCACGGTAGCGACAACAATCAAAACTAAAAACATCGCTGACAGACAGAGATTTGGTCGCTGCCGGCCGAATGTCTACCTGCGCCAGGTGTTGAATTTACGGTGCATGGGCGAGACCTCGTGCATCGCCACGTCAGCAACAAGAGCAAGCTCGAAGCCATTGCCAGGTATCCTTTCTTCTACTGTGTCGAGCTGTATACCAAGTCATTTGATTCGATATCGATGCACAGTGTTGTTTTTCGAGGTTTTTGCGACGCCCGCAAGTGTCCTTGTCCTAGCGTCTACTGGACTTTGGGCATTCGTGTCGGCGTCCCGGGTGCGTCGGTGACCGACGAAGCGCTGCTAGCATGGAGGTCCTCGCAGGCGACTCGCCACGTCCGATGTTTATGCATGCCCCAAAACCGCGTGACAGACCAGAAGCGGCAACTTGAAGATGTCGCGTTGTGTTGAAGACCACGCGCCCGCACTAGTATGTCACTCAAGGAGCAAGCATCGACGTATCGGCAGCGTATGCATGTATTCCAAGAGTCTCGACGCTTGTTTGTTTAGCAATCTGTTCTAGGTCGGCGGCTGCTTGGGCTGCATGTACTCGTCCATGACGAGCGCTTGCATCGTACTCAACGACGCCGTGTCAAGGCCCGCGCACTCGGACGTAAACACAGCATAGCGCCGCAGCTTTTGCACGGCAGCGTCGACTTTTGCAAAGGCAGGTGTTCCGGCCGTCAGCAGCGCCAAGTACACAAGACTCGGTAGATGGCCCGTCGAGAAATGGGTGCCTCCTCCCGGAGCACACAAATACTCGGTCGCCGCTTCAATGCACGACGCCGCGCGCGCCTGACTTAGCGCATTTCGGTGCGGCCACATGGCGGCAGGGAGGTAGCCAGCGAGGTGGGCACGGTCGCGCAACGCGTCCGCGAGCGATACGGGTGGCGCGACGAGGTATGCGGCCACCTTGTGCACGAGAACCTCGGGCAGGTACCGACGAAGATGCATCGACGCCGTCAGATCCATCGGGTGCGTCAGCATGTACGTCTCCACGTCAAACACCCTGCTGACCCGCTGGAGCTTGTAGAAGGTCTGGACGAGGTTCGACAAGAGATGCGGCCACCACAGCGGAATGCAGTCGCACGCGATCGATTGCGCGACGACGTCGCCGGCGGTCGCGAGCTGCACCAAATGGGCAGCGAAATCAATCGTGACGTGGGCGGTTTGGAGGCGGTGCTGGAAACGGGCCGCGCCAAAGCGTCGAACCACCGCGACAATCCAGTTGGCCATGGTCTCGTCGTCGGCCCACTGATCGTGAACGTCCAAAAACGTCTCAATGAGGTGCAGGTCGCCGTGGTTGTAGAGCACCGACGCCATCTTGTTTGTGATTTGGTCGGGGTTCGGTCGTTCAGGTTCCTGCGATCGGAATTCTGAACGATTCAATGAACTGCCCCGACCATCGTTGTCCCGGGGGCGCCGGTAGAAATACCGGAAGGCCGCTGTAAAGACGCTATTGAGCGATCCGAAGCCGAGGTCGTCCCCGTCCACGTTGGCGCGCAAAAGCGCAATCAAGCGGTTGTAGCCCAAAATGTGCACGCGCGCCGCTTTGGGCCACACGAGAAGAAAGCAGCCGGGCGACTCGTACTCGTCCGTGTCGGCGGCAAACTCGTGGATTGGCGTCTGATGGTAGATCTCTTGGACGAGCGTCGGTGTCGCACACAAGGGATGGAAACTCGCGGGCAGCGCCGCATTGGCGTCGGTGTGTTTCTTGCCGTCGTCGCCCGTTTGCACAAGTGCAATGTCATAGACGTCGGCGGCCAGCAGGCGATCGACGATCGCCTTGTCACGACCATGGAGCGAATCAAACGTCGAGCTGCGTGTCTCGAGCCCGATCGCGACGCCAATGGACCCGTCATGATCGTAGTGGCCAGCAACGTCCTGGAGCTCTTGGATTGACGGCAGCGGCCGCGGCGCGAACCATGCCGTGGGCACTGTATCGTGCCACCCGGATTCGCCCAGGTCGTACGCAGCGTAGTATACGGCAACGGACCGGTGTCCGGACGTGATGGGCGCCACCGTCACTTGACACGTGCTGTAGAACGAGAGAAAGCATCCGTCGAGCGCCTCGAACGTCGTCGTCCAGTCGTCGTCCGAGATTGTGACGGCGCCACCGACGCAGGTGGACGGGAAAAAGTACACGACCGTCGCAAAGGTGTGGGGAGGCGGTCGGCTTGTTGGCGTCAACGTCGACGCGTCGCCGGTCAAGTCGATCGCGAAATGCGCCAGCGTCGGTTTGTACGCCATCGAGAAGTAATTGCTGTCGTCTGGCGCTGGATCCAGCGCGCCGAGGATGTTCGAGTCGACAAAGAAATCGCCACGGAAAAAGTGGTAATTGTGGACCGTGACGTCCTTGGCCGGCACGCGCTCGGGGTACGCGGCTATGAGCGCCGCCACGGTCTCGGTCGAGAGAGGCCACGTAGCGACAGTGAGATCACCGAGCTTGACGGTAGGGCTGCGCCTGACGTTAGGATTGCTCCGGCAGCAGTGGACCCTTGCAGCGTCACGTGCAAACGTCTGCAGACTGTACTTGTCCTCGTCACTCATCCCAAGCAAATGCAATACTGCGCTTGGAATAATTGGCAAGATGATGCAATCGGGTGGCAGGCGACGTCTCTGCCAATCATGTGTAATGCGACGCAACAGCCGACGTTCGGTGCATGTGTTAGACTATCACTCATGCACATCCGTGCACGCCCATGAGTGATGGGCGTTTACCGATGCGATACTTGCGGCGAGTAGCCGAGGTTGATGCCCGTTCTTGTCCTTGGAACCTGCTCCTTTTCGTGCTGAACTTGGGTACCAAGGTGACATTGAAGCAACTTTTGCTGCGGCCATCAGCGCTTGTGCCGCCAGCGATGACTGCATCAGCAACGAGCACGTCACTAACGCTGTCGTCGACCAGCGAGTGCGCCGACAACGTCGTCACCGAATCGCTCTCTATAGCGACAAGCCTTCGTTTCCTGGTGTTCGAAACATTGCCTTGGCCTGAACCACATCGTCGCCCTGGTTGGTACCGCTGGAACACCAAGCAACGCGCAATGCGAGGCGTGGGGCGGTAGCGGCGCCGCGTTGCAGATGCTTGTACCATCACCGCATGGTATGCCTAAACTTTGTACTATATGTAGAATCTATCTTGCGTCAAGATTTACTAGTACATATTTTGGATAGATGCGCAGAATGTGTCCATAAAGTAGGGACACACGTCGACGGGAGACCCTCGTGCCACATGCAACCAGTCTGCTGGTGTCATGAGGTGCTTGAGCAGCAGCAGTACTTGTATCTTTGGGCGCCGTCGTCGGGATCTGCGTGATTACGCACATCGATGGCTCGCGGATGGCTGGCGAGAAAATCTCCGTGCAGTGGATCGTCTGCGCGTTGTTGGCCTTCGCGACGACGTGTGCTGTGAAGCGGTTGATCGCGCCGTCAGAGTCAAACGTGATCTGATAGGCGCATCGGTGGCCGGTAACATTGGCGCCACGTACGGTTCGCGATTACGAGAGTGCATCGCGGGGCGTGCGCGGAGCGCTCTTGATCTGGTTGCCGCTCACGTCCAAGACGCAGAGACGCAGAGGCAGAGCTGGCCGTTCCGGGCCAAGTACAGGGTCGGGAGCTGCGGCAAATGCCGTAGCATTTATAGAAGCCGGGATTGACGGTGGTCGTGGGCTTGGAACGCGGCAGAGGGCGAAGAGGTCGAGCGCCTTGAGATGGCGCAGCGATTAAAAAATGCCAACGCTTGCAGTCCGTCATCGTCCCAGTACGTTCCGATCGAGTGACGTTCGCGCCGTCTTGTGCAGGAGCTGGAAGCGCCGAGTCGGCAGCTGGTTGGCCCGGAGCTCGAGATGACGCAGCGCTTGTGCAAACGTCGCCGTGTCGACCATAGTGAGTATCGTGATCGCGGCCGACTCGACGCCGAGTCGCTGGCCTCGACCTTGCGCAAGCGGACGCCCGACACGATCGGCGTTGTCGAGAGGCCGACGAGCAGTGCGCTGACGCGAGACGAGTCACGGGCAGCTGGAGAGCGCCTCGAGCACGAGCTTAAACGCTGTCGTCGTTGACGTGCTGGCGTTGCACTCGAGCCCTACGATGGAGGTGGTAGCAGTCTCCAGTGGCTGCTCGGCTCCAGCGACGGGCGCACCACGAGGTTGCGCGTATCGAAGGCCTGCACGTGGCGGCGGTCGACCACGTGTACCGTATCGTAGAGCGTCCATGACACGCCCGAGTGTGCGCGGCAGCATGAGCGTGCGCGGGTCAAACGTTGCGCAGTGGCAGGAAGCTAACGAGCTCGGGGACGGTGGGCGGCGTCGAGGCTTGTGCGTCACCAGCATGCCCAGGAAGACAACCACCGTCTCGGCGCGTCCATGAGGCGCAGACCGAGGCGCTTGCAGTCGGGCTGCAGCGACACGATCAGGCCACTGCGATCGGGCGGCCCATGACCAAGTGGCAGGTCGGCGGCCATTTATTGGTATGGAGTTCTGATAGCAGCCACAACATGTGGTCATCTGTGGCGAAATATGGCGCATGCCATATTTAATAAAACCATCGATTCCTCTGGCTGTAGCCCACGCACGAAGACCAGACATGGCGCGATGCACTCCCCAAAGCGGCTTCTATCGCCTGCAGAAACCTCGGCGATTTCATTTTCAGACGCGATCGCGACTCCCACCGCCGCCGGCGGCAGCGCGGTGGCATGTCCGCCAAGATCGGATTGGCTAAAAATGGAGAAAAAGCGCGGTCTGCATTATTTTGTGAAATTCTTTTTTATGATTTGAAACTTGTATTGCATATGGGTGGCATTGAGGTGCCGCATGTAATACATGAGATGCCGCATCGAGCCCTAGATTCGGCACATGCAGGATGCAATCCAATCGGGGAGCCAAGTTGAAGCTTATGACCATAACAGTGGACACGAGCACGTCGACGCCCGAGCCCGACGACGCCCAGACGACCTCCTAGACCCTGCTGCACCCAGTGCCGACCTCGACGCCAGCTCCGAGGTACCGCGGCCTGCGCAACATCAGCGCGACCCAGTCTTCTCCAGACGCTGCACATGACACCCGTGTTCCGCATGTGGCTGTACCAGTCGGCATCCGCATCTAACGACAGCAGCCGTGTGCGGGAGCTCCAGCTGCTCTCTGCGCGGCCCTAGCTTTAAAACGATTGCAACGCCAGCGACCCGACCGCTCTGACGCTGAGGTTTGCCTGGACATCAACGGACGTTCTGCAGCAGCACGAGCTCTACCACGTCCTCTTGAAGGCGCTTGATGTCTCTAAGGCACGCCCGACGAACGCTGCATCCACGACCTCTACCAAGGTCAACACCCTTACCCTCTTTTCCGCATGAATCTCCGGTAGTACGATGGCTCGGCACACTCAAGGACTCTGTGCAATGCGCTACGCGCGGTCACGAGCGCAACCACCTCGATACCTTTCCCGACCGCTTGCTCCGAGTCCCATCGACGCCGACACGCCGTCGAAGAGTCGTCACGAGCATCAATGGCACGGCGCCGTCGGCGGCACCAACCAAGATGCCAACAAAAGCTCGTTGTCGCAACTCCCGCCATTGCTCATGCTTGAGCTCAAGCGCTTTGCTTGGAGCAATGGCACGAGCAGGCTCAGAAGCCGTGTCTCGTTTCCCGCGTACGTCGATATGAACGGGCATCATATCGCGACAGCTGGCCGTCGCGAGACGATGCTGGGCTTGGACGGTCCACGGTTCGTTCGTCTCGGTGCTCATGCACGCAGGCGCTGCGAGCGCCGGTCGCTACGTTGCGTACATCCGAGCACGAGACGACGATCATCAGTGCAACGACGACTCTGCCTCGTCCTCTCGTAGGCCGAATGGGGCACGATGGCTGGTCTCATCTCCCAACACTGCGGCTCGTACGCCGTCCGTTGGCGCGGTCGCCTCCGTCCGTGTCGTCGGCGCTGCGATTGCTCGCGGCAACGACAGCTTTAGAGTTATCTACTTCTGTCGCATGGTGTGCTCAAGCTTTTGTGGTTCACAGTACGATGTAGTGTGTTCAGAAGGTTTAAACCAAATGTTGCCTTTGCGTCGACTGGACTGGAGTGGATGCAAGTCGTTTCCCGTTGTGCATTGAGCGCTCGGTGCATCGTGGCCACGACGGTCGGGCAAGCTTGCACGCGTCGCCAAGTCTGCAGCGGAGAACCCTCTAGCCTCCAACGCTGGGGTCCGTCCCAAGTGCGCTCTTGATGCAATCAAGCAGGCCGCGCTGCTGTACCAAGTGCTCTGCGCGTCGCCGACGAGACGGCGGCGTCCTCGCGTCGATCCAGATGCCGGACCCGCTCTTGCCATCGAGAGCCCGTGCGTGGCGGTGTGGCGAGTCTCGATTCAGAGGTCCACCTCCGGTCTGCGTGTCGATGTGTACGCGTGGGTCTACCTGTTGAGACGGGACGAAGATTAGGGTTAGATCCGTTCGTAGTTAGTGCGCGTGTCTAGCAACGAGTCGAAGCCCAGGCTAATCAAGTCATTGTTCAATCACCTCTTCTTCCAGCAAGCCTAGTAGCGACAGCGGACGCGCCGTCACAGGCGGTCACGCCTCGGCGCCAACGTTATTAGGCACCAATGGGCCTTCACGATCACCTCAAGGGCAAGATCAAGTACTACACGGCGCAGGTCGTCGCAAAGCGCTACGCGCAGGCGATTGCTATCGACTGCACAGAGACTTCCCTTCTAGACATTCGCCAGCCATCGGTGCGCGTCATCACGCAGATGCCGAGTTTGCGACGGCGACAGAAGACGCAAGAGCTGCTGCCTCCATCAGTCTGGTCGGATGTGGCACGAGGCGGTCAACAAGGCTTGACCTCGCCGTCGCCCGTTGACCTGTGCCGCGACTTCATCGTCGTGTCCCGCTTCTATATCCGACTTGCATCGATGCCGTCTACATGTAGAAGTGTGTACTGCGTCGTGTCCAACCGACCTTATTTTGTTTATGGGTCGTCGGCTCGGGCGAGGCGCGTGGCTTGATCCAAGAGTTTCTGAAGCGACGCGGCGAGCTCGACCGCCGTTGGGCGCAAATTCGGGTCAGCGTCCACGCAACGATCGACGAGGTCTTGAAGCCACTCCTCACAGTTGTCGCGCAGCGCTGGTCGGTAGCCGCCGTCGACCACCGCCGTCGTGAGCGCGACTTCGTCGTCGAACGCTTCGTCTTCGTACGGCAGCTTCAACGTGTCGAGCTCGGTCATGAGAATGCCAAACGCGTAAATGTCAGAGGCCGACGAGGGTGGCGCGTCGCCTGCGAGCACTTCGGGGGCCGTCCATGCCAGCAGCGCATCGTCGGTCGCCGACGTCCCGGGCACACCGACCTGGACCTTTAAAGCCGGGCTGAAGAAGACGTTGTGGCTCGAGAGATACCCGTGGACGAGACCGTGGGCGTGGACATCCACGAGCGCGCTGGCCACAGCGTGGCCGAACTCGATCTCGATCAACGGGCCTGGATGCGCGTCCTTGTGTTCCGCCATCAGCTGCCGGAGACTGGCAAAGTTTCCTCCCACGAGAAGACTCTTGGGCAAGATGGCAGCCACAACCGGCACAAGATACGGCGACGTGCATCTATGAAAGAGCGATCGATGCATCCAATGCATGCATGTATGTGATCTTCGCACCGTGCGATCGCGTCGAGATCTTCGTCGTCGCCAATGAGACGGTGTGTGACGATGTCCCCGCCCATCGAAAATGAAGCGCCAGGCGCTGGGACCGGTGACACCTACCCATTCAGTGTGTGTTTCGGGTGTCTGCGAAGTGTTCTTACTCCAAGGACGGGGTGGACCAGGTCCGGGAGCAAGTCGCGGGCTAAAGCGGCAGGGTCGATCGCCTCTGCACTGGTCAACGTCGATTGATCCCTCTAATACAATGTCACGTCGTGCTGCCGCAAGCACATGAAACGAACCGCAGGGCATGGCATCGCATGCGGTCGTGGCACGAGCAGCGAGCACACAAACCTATCTGCCGGCGAATTGCCGACCTTCAATGGCTCCCAGTTGTCGGTCGAAGCCACCGTCCCGGACGGTGGGCTGGGTGGCGGGGCACGGGTGGCCGCGAGCCAGCGTACGATGCTGCGCGGGATCGCACGTACGTCTTCTTTCATGACCTATAACGCAGCGGCTAAGCGTGCCACGCTGTGCAGTCTTACGAGCTGGGGTGTCGTCGACTTGAGAGCCATCTTCAAGCGCACGTGCAGCATCTTGAGCTCACTCTTGTCTTCTCGCACATAAGCGCACTGAGGGCAGACGATGTCCATGATGGTCATTGTCGACTCATGGCACGCAGCGCAGGTCCGCGCCCAGTGGACGGGGTAGCCGCGATGGTGCAGTCGCATGAGGCGCCGGATCACGGCGGCCACGCGGTCTTGCGTCGATGCGTGATACCCACACGAGCAATCGGCCTCGATAGGGTGCCAGTTGCCACATCCGTCGACACAGAAAATCTCGGGCAAAGACGCAATTTCTTTCTACGGCAACGGATACAAGCCAATGGGAATAGCACCAGTGCAGCATACCCGCGACGCAGCGATCGTGAGCAGGGACATGTGACATGTCAGAAAACGACCGAGTCGGTCCGTGTCGGAGGCTGTCGCTCCATCCTAGTATGCACACATCGTCGCGCTGCCAATGCAAACCATGAGTCTACTGCCGTCGGAATTGCAACGTTGGCCCCCGTCGCTAGAAGTGGCTTGATGCACGGCCCGTTGCATAGCCGCAAGGCGCAATCCAACGGCGTCTTGCCCATCTACGCCGTCCAATCAATCGGATACTCGGTAGAGACCTTGGCCGTACGTGATCACGTGCATCGACGTCCGCGCCCGCGTCGATGAGAATGCGCAGAACCTGCGACGAGCGTTTGGCCATCGCTTCGTGGAGCGGCGTCATGCCACCCTATCGCCGCGCTGTGGGTTCCCGTGCAAACAAAGCGCGCAGTAGGATCGCGCGTACACTCTGGACGTTGACGTTCGCGCCGCGATCAACGAGAAGTTGCACCGTGTTGGGCGCGCCGGCAGCGCTGGCCACCGACAGCAGTGACAAGCCGCCCTACACAACCGGCTGGAAAGTTGGTCGTCAACATTCGGATACCGGAAGCGCCCCATCCACATGGAGGCCGCTGCTTAGCATGTGTGCCGCCGCGTCGACATCGTCAATTGCCGCGATGCGCATAAAGACCTCCGTCGTCTAATCAAAAGGGTTGTGCACACAGTATCATTGTCATGTGACAGCGAACGTACGCTCATGCCGGGCACTGCGACAGCCGTCACCTCGCGTTGCAGCGTCTCGAGAACCTGTTGGGCGGTCGGCCGCGCCGCTGGGTCACTGCGCAGACACATCTCTGCCAACTGGCGCAGCCACAGCTCGCTGTCTTCTGTGAGCGTCGGGCGAAGCGTGCCGTTGATGACACCGCGGGTAAACGCAATTGGGTCTTGAACGTCTTGGTCAAAGTACGGCAGTTGACACGTGTCGAGCTCTGTGAGGAGGACGCCAAACGCGTAAATGTCGGCGGGACAGCCGTACGTCGTGCCTTGCGCTTGCAGAATCTCGGGCGCCATCCAGTACCGGGTACCGGGCGCTTCGGTCATCTCGGTGGCCTCGAGCCGTGCGAGTCCGAGGTCGGCGAGCTTGACCTCGCCACTTGAGCTCAGAAGGACATTGTCGCTCTTGATGTCGCGGTGCACGAGCTTCTTGGCGTGCAGGTCTCGCAAGGCGTTGGCGATGACCCAGGCCACGTGGAGGTTGGTCACGTGTACCGGTGTACGCTCGTTCATGCGCTTCTTCTCGAGGTGCGTCCGAAGACTACCGCCATCCATGTACTCGAAGAGAAGGGCTGTTGTCTCCAAGTCACGGTCGGCAATGGCCACAAGCTGCACGAGGTATGGCGACGGGCACCTACGATATCCGAGATAAAAAGTGCGATCCATCATGCAGCCGTACGCGAGGAGGGCTTCGGCTTCGGCGTGGAACGACTTGCGATGCTCTGCGTTCTTGAGTATCTTGACCGCGACCTTTTGGTCCATGTAGAAACCAAGGAGCACGACACCAAAGCCGCCGACACCGAGCTGTGTCGTCGTCACCTCGTAGTCGGTCGCTGCAATCTACGTGCACACGTCAAGCTCGCCGAGACTCGATGTCTCGTCAACCTCGACGACGCGAGGCTGCACGCGATCAAAGAGCTTCTTGGCCATCGATGTGCATCCAAACTCGATCGCCAAGGCCAGTGGCGTCTTGTGCTCCTACAACGCAAGCCTTGTGTTGCGGGACGAGGCAAGTCTGACGCACGTGATTTTGTGTTCCGAGGAGGACTCGAGGCGTGGCGAGGAGCCGGTCGAGCATGGTCTCGTTGCGAGTAAGAACCGCCCAATGAACGAGCGAGCACCCGACCTATGCTTGAAGCATCGATGGTGTGTTGGCGATCGTTGGTCTGTACCTCGTCCGAAAAGTTGCAGCTAAAAGGGTGCTGAAGCAGCGCGGCGAAGCGTTGCTCGTCTTGGAGAACCACCGCGATGAGCAATTTCGTTGCCTACACGCCACAAATGCTTTCGAGTACAGGCGCGCGACAAGGTAATTACGTGGGCGTGGGCTGCGCCGATCAACGCGATCACCTCGGGGTTTCCCTGACGCGTAGCTAGGTCCATGGCACTTTGCCCACTCTACAACAACAACAGCACGCACTTGTCAGAGTCACCGAGGGACATGGGCTGGCGCCACCATTCTCTCTCGAACGTCAAAATCGACGCCGGCCTGGAGAAGGGTCTGAACGATGTCGACGCTGCCTTTGGTAGCCGCCAGGTGCAGAAGGGTCACGCCACCCTACTCCCATGTATGATGCACCATGAGCGTGAAATGCTGTAGTACATCATAGCGTTGGTTGAGATCAATATCGGGCGATGCCATGAGCGCTGCGACAACGTCGGCGTGGTCGGCCAAAATCGAAATGAACAAGGGGGAATGTCCGCCCTAAACACCGGAAGAAGCGATCCCATTGTTGTACGGTCAATGGGGCGCATACGCATTTCGCGTTGACGTCAGCACCACGCGCAAGAAGGGCCAGCACCACGTCAAGGGCACCGCTTTCACAAGCGAGGTGCAGTGGGTTCTGTTCGTTCTATATCAAGGACATGAGTGGAGCGTTTGAAAGCTAGACGCAACCGTGACGGCGTGAATATCGGCACCAGCCTCGATAAGAAGTGCGGCGATGTCTCCGCGCCCGGTCTGAATCGCGAGATGCAGCACCGTGTCGCCATACTACGACATCTACATGTTGAAATCATGCAATGAACATGCCAGTACCTGGTTGCGCTCGGAAGTACAGACACCGCGCTCGAGGAGGAAGGCGACGATGTCGTTGTGACCGAGTAGCACTGCCATATGCAGCGGCCGACGCGTATCCTGGTGCATGTTTTACGTTGCTGTGCCGTGCGAGCTGTGTACGTACATGGTCCGCGGCTTCGAGGTCGGCGCCAGCGTCGGCAAGAGCAACCACATGCGCGATGCGCCCATGAAGAATCGCGGCATGCAACGGCGTGTGTGCGACCTGCATATGACAGTGTGCGTGTCATCGACCTCGCAGATTAGGGATACGCACGTCCGACAACGCATCCACGTTGATATCTTGGACGGAAAGTAGCTTCTTGAGCATCGCGATCGAGCCGCGTTTGGCCGCCACGTGCAGCGCCGTCGAGCCATTCTACATCGACACTCCAAGCGCGGGAGTAAAAGACGCACGTACGTTGACGTTGACGTTTGCCGCGTGCGCGAGCAGCAGGTCCGCGATGCTGTCGTGCTGCAGCAACACGGCTGTCTTGAGAGGCGTCATCGTGTCCTATAGGACGATGCATCCCGTGTCGCATGCACGGTCGTAAAGTGTAGTACGTCGCTTGCACTGTCGGGGTGGACTCCGCTTGCCAGCAGCTTGCGGGCATCGTCGATGTTGCCGGCCTCCACGGCCACGTGCAGCTGCTCGTCGGGCTACGGATATCATGAGCGCGTCACGCAAGAGGATCGATACAGTACAGTGAGGCACCGCTGGGCCCGTCCGACTTTCTACACAACAAACGACCTGTTCGCATTCGCACTCCAAAGACGATAAAGGCTGCAACCGAGGGGATGATGGTTGGCGCTGCGGGCATATATATCGAGGCGCTTTCGGGTTGCGCAAGCACGGAGATGGCCTCGACGACTTGCAGCCCGGCCTATTTGATGGTCGGATTTGATGCCGTGTGCAGAGGCGAGCCGCACCGATTGATCCTTCTCAAAAGATACCATCGACGGCACGAGGTGGGGGTGCCTACACAGTGTGGCTAAAGACGTGCAACAAACCAAAGACATACGATTGCAGCTTGGGTAGCAACATAGCGACGAGCTTGGCCGCCGTCGGACGCCGCGTCGGATCGACCGCCGTGCATTTCGCTGCGAGAGCTTGGGCCCACTCGGCGCTTGTATCGCGAGGGTTAGGGTACAGCGTCTGGAGGAGGATCCCGAACGAGTAAATGTCGGCGGGCGTGCCGTAGCCGCTTCCGGACGTGACGACTTCGGGCGCTCGCCACTTGCTCGTGCCAGCACCCGTCGTCATGTTCGTTGACTCTTCCTTGGCGATGCCCACGTCACCCACCTTGATGTAGTGCTTGGACGAGAGGAGGATGTTGTCGGTCTTGATGTCGCGATGGACGACGTTCTTGGCGTGGAGGTCGTTCAAAGCGTTGGCGACGACCCAGAGAATCTCAATGGGAGCGTACACCACAGGCACAGGTTCGTCGTTGGCGATCTTTTCGAGGTACGAAGTGAGGTTGCCGCCGTCCATGTACTCAAAAAAGAGCTGCGGCGCGTCTGACTCAGCCTCGGCGGTGGCAAGCAGCCGCACAAGGTACGGCGATGGGTTGCTATTCAATGGTGCATGAGCTGCCTTTGGATACCAGCAACCATCCTACTCTTTGAGGACTTGGATCTCGTCGCGGAGGTTCTCGGCAGCCTTGCGGCTCGAGTTCAAGACAGTCTTGATCGCGACGTCTCGACCAAAGAGCTTGTCCTTGAAGACGATGCCATAGCTGCCACGGCCGAGCACTTGGAGATGCGCCGTCGCGTGCAGAGACACCTACGGGCACAAGCCGCTGCCTCTTGGATGTCTGCGGGACGGGGCATACCTGGGCTGCTTTCGTGATCTGTGCGGCGTGCAGCTCATGGACGAGGGACGCAGTACCCAATTTCGTGGCAATGGCTGTCGGCGACTCGCCAAGCTACACGGATATCTGGCGTCAGAGGTGGTGTGCTCCAATGGCACACAACCGTGTTGACACAGTCGAGATCGATCGTCGGATCCGTCACTAGCGCAGCGACCAGTTCGTTGTGGCGACCGAGAAGCGCCAGGTGCACCAGCGTATTGCCGTACTACACCACCGATGAAACGAGCCGAGACTCTCTGGTTGGTACCTCGTCTGTTTCGTTGACACTGAGCCCTTCCGAGAGAAGGGCGCGAACGACGGTTAGGTCACTATGGCGGGTCGCATGCAGCAGCTCCATTTTCTACGCGAGAGATACTATCGAATCCCATGCGTGTAGCAAGTAGGGTACCTTGGTGCGAACGTCCTGAAGCACAGCCAAGACACTTGCATGGCCGTAGTGCTGAGCGAAATCGACAGGTGTGGCTCCAGACTAGAGGCGGCATGACAACTTTAAGGGGTGCCATACACCCGTACACTGGTCGGCACGTCGAGTTTGGCTCGTGCATACGCAAGCTGGCGCACAACCGTTGCATGACCTTTGATGGCGGCCACATGCATTGCCGTGGCCCCTTCCTGTCCAGGTATTCGCGATAAGCGGTTGGACACGCAAGAGGGGCTGCGTCGTACTACCTCGCTTTCAATCGCATTCACGTCGGCCCCCGCCTCGAGCAGCAGCGCAACAATGTCTGCTCGGTCGTTTCCAGCCGCGAAGTACAGGCACGGAATCTACATCCAGTGTGAACCACAGCGGTAAATAGAAAGTGTACATCCGTGACGCGGTTGGCGTGGGCCCCCAGCTCTAGCAAGGCGGCGACGGAGGTGGCACAACCACGGCGACAAGCAATGTCCAGTGGCGAGACACCACCAGCCTACGAAGCACATAGGTTTGCGATCTGCTTACGTAGAAATCAAAACGGACCGATAGCGTTGTGTTTGGGTCGACGCCATTGAGCACGAGAAAGCGGATCATGTCCACGTGACCTCCATGCGCTGCACAATGGATGGCCCCTTGACCATACTAGAGGAGCACATTTGATGTCAAGTCCATACTCTTATATACCTTGTCCAAGCGCTCAAGGTTGGCACCCGCGGCCAAGAGTCGCGCGGCAATCGCGACATTTCCATGGGCTGCGGCCGCCACGATTGGCGGCTGCCCGTTCTAGTGGAGAAGTGAAAGACGCGCCACCACATCTCAAACAGTACTTGGTTGTTGACGTCATTCGCGCCATTGGTACTCACGGCAAGGAGCTCTTCGACCACGTCTTCGTGGCCCAAGCGGGCGCCTGCATGGAGCGCTGTCCCCATCTTGAGCAGGGTATCCATGTGAGTGGCCTTGCAACGTATCGGTGCTGCATACCAGATTACTCAAGTGGACATCGGCGCCACGCATTAGAAGGAGGCGCACGATGTTGACGTGGCCATGAACAGCGGCCCGAATGAGCGCCGTTGTGCCATCCTGTCGGTTTTGGATCGTGGATCATCCTTCACAACACAGGGCCGCACCGCTGTCGACAGGTCGATGTTGGCGCCGGCGTCAAGAAGCAGCTCCACAACGTCGACGTGTCCTTCAATCGCAGCAATGAGCAGCATGTGCCCACCAAACTGCACAGGTTGTTACTCTGGCGATCGCTCCGTTTGTGACAAAGTAGTGAAGGACATACGTTGTTGCGATGGTCAGGGTCGGCGCCATCGTAAAGGAGTGTGGCCACTCGCGCTGCATCGCCGGTCGTCACGGCGTCGACGAGACTCGTCTTGTACGCAGTCGACTGCTCGTGCACCGCCATTCGCTTCTGTCGTAATACCTTCTGTCGAGTCGAAACGGCAATGCTAGTCAAGCTAGTCAACAACGTCTCTCAACAGTCTCTCAACCCCGTGCAATCCATTTATAGAGGTCATCAGCTGCCGTCAAATGATCGAATCGAGTTTCCAAGGGTTTTGGGACCCCCATGTGCTGTTCCACATTGCAGTACGGCAGCGTGACCGTCTCCCACGGACCACGACATTCTATCGATCCCTGCCCATGAGCCCTGCCTAGACGATTAGTAAAGCAGAGCTGGGAAATGCACTGCCGCTCTCGACCAGCATATGGTCTAGGAACGAGCCAAGGCTGTTCGTTTTCCCCGAGAATCCATTTGTAGAGGTTCTCACAAATGATAGAATGCATTTTCAGAGGGCATCCGCGTTTTGTGATCTTCCAGCATTGACCATCTTGGCTCCAAGTGTCGATGGGCGAAGACGTGCGATATGTGTCATCGCTCATGGCTGTCTGATGTCGCTCCGCGTAGGCCAAAGCAGTGGCACTCGTCGACGCTGTCCACGCTGGCGATACCACCCGCGTGGCTGCGCTACTCCGTGGCCACGCCGACGCCAATGCCCGCAACCAGGTACCTCGTTTTTTGCTGCTCAACAGTGTGCGATCTTGACACGTGCATGTAGCTTGGTGAGCTACCGCTCTTCGAGGCTGTGAGACGAGGGCGGCACGACATGGTGCGCTTGCTCCTGGACGCTGGTGCCAAGCCCGACTTGCCGAGTCGAGTACGTCACAGTACATCTCGTGTCGCGTTGGGACGCATGTGTGTAGACCGGAGCGACGGCGCTCTTGGCTGCTGCCGATGCAGGCGACGTCGACCTCGTCCGACAGCTCGTGCGGGCCCGCGCAAACGTCAACTTTCGTCATTCGGTACATCCGCGCATCCCGACAGCAGCGTCGAGCATGTCTCCATAGAGTGGCGTAACGGCCATCATCCTTGCTACGCAACGCGGGAGCGAGGACTCGGTGGTCGTCCTCATCAATGCGGGCGCCGACGTCCGGTCGCGGACGTGGGTACTGCGATCGACGACTAGCGACCAGAATCATGATTTAAGCAACAGGCGGGGGTGACACCCATTCTGGCGGCCGCAGAGCAAGGAAATGTTGCGATCGCGCGCCGCTTGCTTGATGCTGGCGCCAATATCTTGGACGTTGATCAGGTTCGTTCTTATGTGGACTCATCGGACGTTGAGTTGTGTATCTCTAGGATTGCTATGGCGTTCTCCATTATGCGGCAAAAGAAGGTCATGTCGAGATGCTGGATGTCCTTGTCGCATCTGGAGCCGCAGTTGACGCGGTGTCCGTGGTAGACTTGAAACCACACTTGAGTATTTTGCTCATGCACAACACACACCTCTAGACCGGAGCGACGCCGTTGCATTGTGCGTGCGTGATGGGCCACGCTTTGGTAGTTGATGCGCTTTTGACCGAGACTTATCCGTACGCCGACGAGGTCACAATGGTCGTGGAGCTGTCCGATACCGTGTGGGCTAACGTTTGAGGCCGGTTTAGGGCTCATGCCTTCTGGCCGCGGCGACTGAAGGCTTCGTTGACGTCGTCAAAAGGCTTCTAGCGCGTGGTGCCAATGTCCACTACGCGGATGCAACGGTGGGGTCCATTACATGATTATTGTGCAGTCGACGAGCAGTGCGTTGAATGAAGTGCGTGTAGACGGGAGCGACGCCGCTCTGCGAGGCAGCTGCCAACGGGCACACGGAGGTCGCACGTGAGCTTGTCAGAGCGGGTGCTATGATGCTCGAACGTGCCAAGGTGCTTGATTTCGCGCTCGTTGCTCGCCCGACTCACCGCAAGGCGCGTTATAGGATGGATCGTTGCCTGTGCTCGCGGCCGCCAAAAATGGTCATGCAGACACGGTGCACATGTTGCAAGACTTGCAACGCAAGGTAGATAACACTCGTTCTGCAATCTGCACTTGCCCTTCCTTTCACTCGGCGCATTAGGTTCTGGACTTGTTCCATGCGTCCCGACACGGTCGCCTCGACGATGTCCGTGCGCTGCTGTCGGATGGCGTTCGCATGGACCACGTTGATGACGTACACCGTGCCACATCATTGCGATTAAAGGGTCATCCATCATTGTAGCACGGCAACACGCTGGTCCATCTGGCGCTACTGGGCGGCCACGACACTCTTCTTGCCTTTGTGTTGGACCACGATGGTGTCGAAACGACGGATTCCAACAAGGTCCTCCGTTGCCTTCTTCTCCCAGTGTAAAATGTGTTTCGTTTTTAGTTTGCCGAATGCCCGATGAGTATCGCAGTCAAGTCGACCAACCAAGCTGGTATCGACCGACTTTCACCGGCCCAAGACATCACTGTTGCCGAGGTACTTCCATTGCCCTTGAAACATATTGGGTCTTGACTACGTCGCATCAGGTGGCTGCACGCTCGTTGGCAAAGCTACAAGAAGTTGGCATTGGCTGCTACAGTATCGTCTTCAAGGACACGCACTGTGGCCAAGACGTAGCCGTCAAGGTGTATCGAAAGGCCCATTTAAGCACTGCGATCATTCGAGACAAGATCCAAGTCCTCAAAGAGTGAGCTGGCTGTTGCTACTCTTGAATTCAGCTCATTTAGCACTGAAATAGCAACCCGTCGCCGTACATTGTGCGGCTGCTCGCCACAGCAGACGCGGAATCGGACGCGCCGCAGCTCATCTTCGAGTACATGGATGGCGGCAACCTCACTTCGTACCTCGAGAAGCTGGCCTTGGGCAAGTATGTTCCTGTGGTGTACGATCCCATTGAGATTCTCTGGGTCGTTGCCAACGCCTTAAACGACCTTCACGCCAAGAACGTCGTCCATCGGGATATCAATACCGACAACATCCTCCTCTCTTCCAAGTACTACATCAAGGTGGCAGACCTCGGTGCCGCCAAGAAAGAGTCAACGAATATGACGACGGGTGCTGGCACGAGCAAGTGGCGAGCGCCCGAAGTCCTCACGTCCGGAAGCGGCTACGGGAAGGCGGCCGACATTTACTCGTTCGGGATTCTCCTCCAGACGCTGTACCCTAACCCTTTGCATGCAAGCGCTGAGTGGGCCCAAGCTCTCGCAGCGGACTGCACGGCGATCGATCCAACGCACCGCCCGACGGCGACCAAGCTTGTTGAAATCCTGCAGCTACAAATGCGGTACCGATCGAGTAGAGTGAGAGATGACGATGTCTGTCCACGCGTAGGCATTCGCAGCTGGTGGTGTCGTTGCCAGCGTTCTTGCATGACCAAAAGGTTGCAATCTCGTTGTACATATTTTGTCCTGTATATTTGCATTAGGTTGGTCCTCCAGCCATCGACGTCATCCCCATCAACCCAACTGTGGTGGCCCGGGTATCGTCTGCTGAAATCACACACAATAGTGCACATCACTTTCTCGCCTAGAAGCTTGGACCCTCGCCGTCAACTCTCAAGGTATCGAATCCACCGACTCATTCCCTTCACAATAGCGTGTATAGAGGATGCCAGAACGTTTTCTCAGGGCTATCCAAAGGCGGGACGTCGCCGAGGTGGTCGACCTTCTCGACAACAGTGGCGTGGACCCCAACTGTGCTTCAGCGGTTCGATAACTTTTTCTCAGTCAGCTGTTTATATTGCATCCGACAGACGGGCGAGACGGGTCTTATCATAGCCACGTGCCTGGGTCACTGCGACATTGTCAGCGTCCTGTTGGCACGCGGGGCCAACGTGAACGCAGCTCAAATCGTACGTAGTCCGCGTGTGCGGCATCCGAGTCTGTACGTGTTGTAGGCTCGCATGACAGCGCTGCACACCGCTGCGCAGCAAAACAACTGCAAGATCATGCAGATGCTTCTTGCAGCCAACAACGTCAACGTCGAAGTCCGTGACAGCGTACGCAACTCGACTCTTTGGCGTCGCAAATCATTCTTGTTGCGTTAGTTTGGCCACACGCCGTTGCATCTCGCCATCAAAAAGAACAACAAGGAGGCCCTCGACGTACTTTTGCGCGCCAATGCCAACGTCAACGCAGTGACCAACGTAAGCTCGTCTGTCGACGACGGCGTAGGTCATCACGACGGTTTTTGTTTATAGAAAAAAAACACGCCACTGCACTATGCGACAAAGTCTCGACTTGATGCGGTCGTCGCGCTGCTCATTGCCCATGGCGCCGACGTCAATGGCCGCAACAATGTACCTTTGGTCGTGAGGAGAGATGTTGTCATCCAGCCCATTTTTTTCTAGGCTACCATCACACCACTGTATACCGCGCTCGCCACGTTCGACGAGCCTTCGGTCGCGAGTCTCGTCCAATCGGGGGCTGATCTCCACGATGTGAAAGTACAACACCCTATCTATTTTCCCGCCACCTAACGGCGCCTTGCAAAACTAGGACAACGAGAGTGCGCTCCAAGTCGCTTGTCGCATACGCTTTGTGGCTGCAGTGCCCATTTTACTGACGCATGGCGCCGACGTCAACACCAAGCATGTGCGTTGTGATTGGCGATACGTCTTGAAAGACTCCACCATTTGTTGTAGAACGGGCTATCACCTCTGTGGGACGCCATCATGAGCAACTGCTCTGATCTTGCCGCCGCTCTCCTTACGTCGTCCGAGATCAACATCAACGAGCAGGACGAGGTTGGTGGTGCGTTGCTCTCCAAAGGTGACTCAGTTCTAACTTGTAGCTTGGCAACTCACTTTTGCACCTGGCTGTCATGAAGCACAACACAACCATTGCCCGCTTGCTTGTCGGTGCCAAAGTCGACGTCGATGTCGTCGACGCGGTATTAACGCCACAATGTACTGTTGCTGCGCTCACATCAAACTGGATAGAGTGGTCATCGACCCATCGAGCGAGCATTGGCGCTAGGAAACCAAACCATGTACGAGCTCTTGCTTCCGGCGTCCGACCACGTATACAATCTTTGTCTTGATTCGCATCCTGAATCTCACGAGCTTGTAGAGCAATCAGCTACTCGCTGCCGCACAAGC